TGCCCTGCCGTCTGAACTTTGAGAAGCTTTGGTCTAGACTGATACTCCGCCCCTTTCTGCAAAAAAAAATAGACGTGCTGTGTTTTGTATACAATTGTTACATATAAATAAATAAATGTATATATATATATCTCACAATATACATGTTAAAGTAAATAAATGATAATTGTTCCCTCTCTCTCCCTTATTCTCATTTACAGTGGAACCGACCATCGACCCGAGTAAGTTTATATTTTTCTTCTTCAAATACCGCTATAATTGATGATGAATACTAAACTATCATGAGCCATACGATTGTCAAGTTGACTGTATAATCTCATATAATGTACAAGAAATTTACTGTATTAATATACTGATTTATATGCAAAGAATAAGTTATTACTCTAGTGCTTTATGTGGAATTATTTCTTCTTCTTTTTTTCAATGGAATTATAACTCAAAGGGGCAGTCCTCCCAGTAATTAACTTATTTATGATACAAGTCAAGTTCTGTGGAGGTTTTTAGGAAAACCCTGTAGAAAACAAGAATGTTATGAATTTGTTGAAGTTGTAATCGATCAAATGCAAATTGGAAGGTCTGTGACATACACTGTACAATTTACCTTTCAAGGCTCTCTTTCACATTTGTTCTGTTATAAAAGATTCACAATTTTCTATCTTTTCCTAAAGAAAATAGTTATACATGCACCTAAATAAAAGTATTGCACAAAAACTATGTTCTCACACTTCCATTCTATGAAATAGATTTGATTCCTTTAGCAACAACCAAGATATTAGATACTTATGAAGATTTCATTTGATAGGACTATGCATTGTAATGGTCAAGTGAAACAAAGTACATGTTTATTGTGTCACAGCTTTCATATATTTAAGCAAACTTTCTTTTCATTTTCTTGTTTTTTCCGCAGACTTTGGAGCGAAGATTGATCTGTAAAACATCCTGAAAAATCATCTCGTCTTTCACTTGCCCTTTTCCTGTTCAGTACTGCTTGGGTAAACAGGGAATGGGGTCTACTTTACAGATCGCATTTGATGTACGTAAATAAATGGTTTATAACAAGGGGGGTCATTGAATCTCTGGTTTTATTGAAGAAAAAAAATGCAATAAAGCATTAAAATATGTGTTCTTTCAAATAAAGGGGATACAATACTCATATGAAATTGCATTTAGGAGGGGCATGTTTGTTTTAGGGGGGATGCAGGGAGGGGGAGGAGGGAATCAAGTGATTAGGTGTGTAATTTGGGATAATAGGGCAAACAGAAATTTTACCAAAACAAGTGATAGGTTACTGCAGTAGTCTCGCAGCTGCGGAGTGATGACAACTTCTGAAATTCAGCCTTTAGAGAAAGCATCCCATATTTAGCAATTTTATAAAAATGTCTTATCTTTATCTTAAAGGAATTTAGAAATTTAGCCACAGATGTACCTGGTAAGTGGTTAACTTTTGGTAAACCTGCAGTGAGCATATTTCATATGGGGATCGCTGTGTGGTAACCCAGTCATTGAACTCTCATGAATTTTTTATCAAAGCATTTTAGAGGCTGAAGTCACAAAAGCTCTTGGGGTAAAATATTAATACCTTTTGGGGGTAACTTGTACATGTAGCCTGTAGTACACCTTGAAAATTGATACTAAATGTATATAGCGGGTTAACTAATGATATTTAGTTCATAGTTGAGCCTATTGAGCTTGGAGCACCAGAACCATTCTGAATGTACGAACTGAAGTTAAGAAGATGAATTTTAACTTGAACACAAGAATCCATGCTCTTGCCTTCTGTACAGAATAACATCTCTGTTGTTTTGTGGGAATGATATGAAATATGAAGAAATTGTGCCTTATATGGACGAAAATTTGTAGTACATTTTGGCTTGAAGTGATGTCAACTTCTTTTATGATACATCCCGCTTAATTTCAACAATTTTTTGTTAATCCCGTTCCCATTTTTTCACTTGATGGTGCCAGGAAATTCATCTTTCAACTTTTTGTAAACAAAACTTGTAAATTGAAGTAGTGCATTTATACTACCCTTTATAGGCTTTCACAGCAGGTACAGTACTGCATACTGTAAAGAAATGCAGTAAGATGACTGTACAACTTACATTTTTTCATCCCCAACAAATATTCGATAGGGTTGTCAATAACATTTTGCTCATTTTATACCAATGATTACTAGTATTTTAAAAAAATCACAAAAAGATTTGGAGCGACAAGCATGTAAGCTTATTATAGAGGCTGCATTATATTTAGTACTTTAACACATGTTTTACACACAGGGTTCTTATAATCTGTTATCTGTTTAAAAAAAATATTTGCCAAAGCTTGCAGTTTAGTGTTTGCTGTAAAATCCTCATTTGTTACACTTTACATCAAATTTTCTTCTGTTTCTCTTGCAAAATGGATCAGTGGTACTACTTCTCATTTTCTTATATTTTGATTTCTTTTTTCTTTTCTTTTTTCCCAGTGGTTGAATGGTGTTGATACATTTGACAGAAAAAAAAATGATGTTTGAAGCTGTATTTTTTGTTTTTTGTTTTGACAGAGAATACAGTATATTTCTATTCCTGTTTTGCCATTTTTTTTCTTTTGTTTTTGATTGGATTCAATCTGTTATAGAAAATTACGTTTTTAGTTTTGTGTTTAATTGCTATTATCTTACTGTACGTCATGTTCTCGTAGAGAATTTGCATTCTAAGTTTGGCCCAAATTGGTAGACAGTACTTGCGGCTTTAGTAAGTTTAATGTACCCCTTTAGGCCAGTATGAATTGAAAAATCAAGCAAACAGTTTATGTTAAAGTGAAGCAATAATGGGACCTATGACATTTACTTCTAACTAAGAGGTGCGTCATCTAAAATGTACCGGTATTCTGTATGCCAGGCATAAACTTTGTTTGAGCTCATAGCACCTGCACTTTGACTATTGAAATGAAGTCGCTTGCAACAGATGAATGTAATATAGTGTTTTTCCACTAGGCAAACATTTACACGTTTGTATGCATTGTCATATTATTGGCATATCGGACTTTGACCGGTGAGAAAGATGAAAGAATAATTTGCATTATTTTTCTCTAACCCAACTTTCAGACTTACAATTCAACAATTCAAATCTTTTGACTAGTTTCCATCGTAAGGCCAAGTTGAATTCCAAGTTTGTCAAAAATGCCTGGTTCCATGATATATAAACTGTTGGCTTTATTTGCTGGGCATATTGTTTTTCGATTGTTTTGTGATGGTTTTGGATTAACATACTGATTTTTTTTCTTCTTTCTATTAATGAAAATGAGGGCATGAGGATTTTTATATAATTGATATATTTAGAGGCTGCATTTGTGTATTCTTATTATAATGTATTCTAGTTGCAATATTGCCAAATTTGTAGCAGTATTCAGGTAGCTGAAAGTATTAGGAAATAGATTCACTGTAATGTCAAGCTGTTTGATAAAATACATACAGTAGGCATTGTTCCTCCAAATGTGCGTATAAGATGTCTACAGATACTTTTGTAATGAACCTGCCTTTTTCTAAAGAAAACTTTCTAAAGCCATTTAGATAATCTTTCATTCAGTGAGTGGTCATTTTGGCCATCAAAATATGAACAGTTTTGATAATCAAAATGGAGAACACTGAAATATGATGAACATTTGAAAAGTATTTTAACATCTATCAATTCAATTCATGGCAGATCTTATAATCTGTAATCTTTTCGGAGTCTGTCTTTTTATTTTATTTTATTGTTATCATACTACATTCGGCAAGTTTTAATGTGAATGAATGATAAAGTACTCAATTAAAATGTCCAGAATATGGACAATGAATATTTATTCAAATGTTAAGTTATAAAATGATTAGTATAATACTATTCGTATTAATGGATGGCTTGTTTAATGTGTATATATTTGGTTAATGGATATCACTATTTTATTATACCTAATCTGAGATTTCTTAAATTTTGCAACTGATTTTTAAAGAAAGATTTCATAATGTGAAGATTGTACTCATGCGAGTGTTGTAATAACTGAATAAAGGAGAACATTTTGCTTATTGATATAAAAGATGTTTTCAAGTGTATTGTTTTCTGTCTGTGAGATGAGCGTTATTCGTTGATTATGATTACTGCTGCTTTATAATAATAATAATATAATGATGATGCATGTATATAATTATGAGTTAGTGGGGGTGATAGTAATAACGAAGATAGTGGTGGTTATTGATGATGGTATCGTTGATGTGGTGGAAATGCTGATGATGCCAGGGATGATGGTGGTGGTGGTGGTGGTGGTGGTGATGATGGCGATAGTGGCGGTGATTATAATAACAAAACTTAACGAAGAGTTGGTGTTCATAACAGTCACAAAACCTGGGGGGTGGTAATTTGGAGCTCTGTGAAATTATATTGATATTAATTATTCCATAAAAGTTTATTTTAAAGAAGAAGAGGACAGTGATGATGAAAGTGATGGTGGTGGTGAATACGGATGATAATTGAGGAGGAGGGAGGGTGGTGATGTTGCTGTTGTTTATAGTGGTTATTGGTGATTGCAGAATGATCATTATTTATTCATGGGTTGTGTAAAATCATTTCCAATCTGTCCATAATTATGCATCATGTATTACAAATAATATAAACATCACAAAGTGCCCTAAAGTTTTTCAACTACAAGAAGCACCGTTTTGCCAGTCGCGCCGAAAATTCGCACAGTTTGTCCATGGTTAGGAAGGGGTGTTTTGTAATGTCATTCATTAATGGCCTTTTATTTTTGCCTGTATTTGGTTTAAAGCATCAACATCTAACACATACTCTGTTGACTTTTAAAAAAGAGCTGGCCAAGGGAAGATGACCCCATCCCCTCCTTTCCTCATATAACCCCACCCCTCCTTTTCTCATGTAACCCCTACCAGTTCAGTACGTGTCCTCGACGATATCTTTTTGATAAAGGATACGGTCTATTGGCGCAGAGGACGCTAGACCAAAACTAACATAGCCAACATTATATTCATGTGCAGCAAGCATGCATGCCAGCTCCGCTCTGACAGCGAGCTGCTAAAGAACAACGTGTAATTTGATACCAAAACACGGACGGCGCACATATTGCACCTGTGCATACAATATACCAGGAAGTCGAGTTTTGGTAGTGTTCCGCGAAATTTTGGAAATCATGTTTGACATAATTTCTCACGTTTGGACCAATATGGCACATCCCAAAGGATTTCTAGCGGCAGTGCTGCTAACTTATTGTAAGTATCAATCTTCAATTCTCACAAACTTGCTTCAAATTCGCGAAGTTAGCGCGAACAAGGTAAATCAATTATTACCAGGCCTCTCGCAGCGCTGGGCGGGTGGTGTCAATAGGCCCCTATACAAAAGTCATTAGATGCACAGAATGAATTGAAGCGCGCGGCTTTTCAACGGCATTGTGGTGTATTATGTAGCCGGGCGGTTCGGCTTGGCTAGGTGTTGACGGGTGGTCGCGTGGCTGGCTGGAGGCTGCCTGTGTTCTGTAAATGTCGAGTGCATAATTGTTGGTGTGTGTGGTGGAATTCGCCCTGTAATTCGGCACCAGGCAGCCATAAAGGCGTAAATTAGGTTTGTGTTTTTCTCATTGAGTGTCATTTTGCCGTGACCGACGAGACATAGTTCAAATTTTGTTTTCAGTTTCAGGAGTTGGAGATTACAAAAATGTTGATGATGTGCCAGATCAAAACTTATTAGCCCTAATTGTAATCACTTTGCCAATGGCTTAAAAACCTGTAAAAATATTTTGTTAAATAAGCAAGTGCACTGGATATTACTTCTACTACTACTACTACTACTACTACTACTACTACTACTACTACTACTTCTACTACTACTACTACTACTACTACTACTACTTCTACTCCTACTCCTGATAATAATAATAATAATAATAGGCCTAATGATAACAATGAAAATGATGTAATAACAATTAAAATGATAATAATGATAATAATATAACTTGGCCTACTAACAAGCATTCATGCTTTCTTAGTAGTCAGGTAAACCACCACTTAAACATAGCATTTTTTCTTTTATGTAGTCAAAGAGGAGGGATGGAGGATGGGGGAAGAAAAAATGAAGGATAGAAAAGCTAGATGAAGAAAGAGAAGAACAAGAGGGGGATAAAGAAAGAGACACCTTATGAATAATATACACTATAGTCTTTGTAGCTTTCAGTGTTTTGATGGAAAAACGTCCGATTGGACCAAATGACCAAACAAGACTTAGCATAACTAACACAATCAATTATACCAAATGTATCGTTGAACTTTAAAGAGAGAGACGGAGGGGAGGGGGATTAAAAAAGAAAGACAGTACGAGAAGCGGAGAGAAAATGAGATGTGTAGGAAGAGAAAGGGACTAATATTAGACGTTGTCACTTTGATAATAGATCGGGAATATTGATGATAAATATGAACAGGACAGGGTCAGGTGGATACAGCACTAATAAATACAGACCGAAAGCTATGGGGAGATACCGTATGCAGGTGAAGAAGAAGACAAAAAAAAAGAAATAACAATGTTAACAAAATAACGAGGGGGACCAAGAGCAGCTGAGGCCTGGACGAGTGAAGACATTCGCTGATCGATCGATAATAAAAACATTATTTTTGGCCACAAGGCCAATCCCTCTGCTTTTTAAAATTGCATCCTCTGTTGGCGTAATATTTATGTTTTGGAGAGGACATCATTCATTTTTGAAAATCAATTTTTGCCCCGGGCTTCAAGGTGCACGTCTAAATCGTGAATTATTTTCTATACTGAAATGGCGATGCTACAACGTTATGGGTGCGAAAGGTGCATGTACACTCTACAGGGGAAAATTTGACCAAAATTAGTAGGCTAGGAGACAGAAAGGCAAAATTTGGCATCAAAAATTTATCTCGAAGTTGACAGTTTTTCCAAAAAAATTAATCTATCTAATGACCATTGAGAATAAACTATTTTATCTCGATGTCAGTCTTTGTGGTCGCTTGTCAATACAAATGCTCGTAGAAGAAGAAGAAGAAGAAGAAGAAGAAGAAGAAGAAGAAAGAAGAAGGAGGAGGAGGAGGAGGAGAAGGAGAAGGAGGAGGAGGAGGAGGAGAAGAAGGAGAAGAGTAAGAAGAAGGAGGAGGGGGAGGTCTGAGGAGGAGGAGAAGAAAAAGAAGAAGAAGGAGAAGGAGGAGGAGGTCTGGAGAAGAAGAAGAAGAAGAAGAAGAAGAAGGAGGAGGAGGAAGAGAAGAGAAGATGCCGCTCAGCCTGTCGTGCTTTAGATTCATTAAAAGTTACGTTGTCAATTTTTACTGGTCCTCCAAAACTCAGGGTAGGGGTCCACTATGGGTGGGGGTGGGGGGGGGGGGTGCGTGAGGAGTGGTTGAGAAAATTACTGGAATATTAACTATGTATATACTAATGAACGGCCTTCGCTTGCTCAGTATGTATGTCGAATTCAATAACAATTCTTATTCATTACATTTGTGAGTTTGTTCCCATTGTTATGCAGACCTTAATGGGCTTGTGGTTTATATTTTCATAACGACATTTCCTGCCTATGATCTACCTGTACAATGCATTTTCCGGTGTAGGAAAATAAACCACAATCTATATTGCTTCATAAAATTATCTGCATAGTATTTCTGAGATGTGTACGGAGCTTTTATATCGGGAGGGTTAGGGGGAGAGGGGGGGGGGGGTTGTTGTACTTGAACTCTTTCACAAATTATTTGTTTTGCTGCAGCTGCAATCCTTGCCGGTGTATGATCACAGTAGATCCCCTTAGAGTTTTGACATTTCAGTAAATAGACAAAAGGCATCAGCCTTTGTGGTCGTTTGTCAATAAAAAAGCTCGTAGTTAAACATAGAAGCTAAATATTATCTCTGACTCTGAGTCTATGTGCTGGTTATCGTTTATCATTTGGGGGAATTGGTTTATGAACGCATGCAGTCAATGCGGACATAGTAATTGTGAAAGGAATTCAGGTTTCGTTGTGAACGTATTGATATCAATTATGTATGAATTTAAATATCGAATTGCATGAAATCGCTATAGCACACACTTTCTCCGACTTGTATTTCTTAAAAGGTATATGGTTAGTGCTATTATGGTCAGGGTTACAATTCAAGAGCAGCGCTTTGTAACTGTAAGGGAAAGACGCTATATCAAATATATTTTGGATCGTATTGGATTTTAGGTATAGGGTTAGGTTTTGGGTTTAACATGTAGGTAAACTGTTGGGTCCACGGTTGAAGTTAAGAATTTGGTTATTGACACTGAGCAATATTATTGTCGAAAGAGGAAGTGTCGTACAACCTTTTTTTTTTAAAATGTTTCGGGGGGGGGGAGGGGTCAGTTCAGCCAAACCAAATTTATTCAAGCCCCTCCCCCTCCCCCTCCCCCAAAAAAGAAGAAGATATATATATAAATAAGATTTTTTTTATCGCATGAAGGAAGCTTCACATGAAGCACCCCCCCCCCCCCCAAGGGTCCAATCCTCCCTCAAAGCCCTCCCCAAGAAAATGTATAAATGCTAGTGAAATATTCCTAAAGATCCGCTGCTGGCACATTCAAAGAAAGTCTCCTCAATAACGCAGAAGGTTGTTAGGATTAAATCATTATTAATAATGAAATATTGATTTGGTTAGATTGATTAGAAGTCAGATTAGTTTGTTCTGCAGCGGTTTTTAAAGATCGTTTCCTAACACAATTAATTTTAATCAATCAATGTAACTACAACTGCAACTAACAATAGAGTCATTGATATGTCTGTTGAAATAGACCCAATATAATCTCTATGTAAGAAAATATATTAATTAACAAATAACATTGAATCTCCTCCTCCCATTTTCTAAAAATCCTCATGAGAAAATAGGATTAGGAATTAGTTTTACAGCTTATTGTTGCTCTCCTACACTGTTCAGCATTATACCTGTTGTGTTCATAATGTGCAGACTGCGTACATGTAGTATAGAACCTCTTTGTGTACATAATTTTGTTATTATGTTAGAGGGTAAGGTTTAATATGTAAACCTTGAATAAATAGGTGTCGCGTCGGTTTAATGGGCCAGAGAACGTGCTGTTTGTCCAATGAGTCATGAATATAGCTTTTATCGGTTTGACTTGAAAATTATGAGCGATGAGTGTCATGAACCTGGACGAAATTATATACAGTTAAAGGTAAAGACCAGTTCTGGTCATGCGATTGTGTTGTGAAAGAAACGTTGTGGAATCGATCAGAAAAGGTTGATCATCTAGCATCTAGCATCTGCAAGGTGCTGGAATCGTCAAAACGATAAGAAATTTGGCCCATTCTTCGTAAGTTACAAGCACTAGGCCTATACACAGAAAGATGTATATGGGACTACCCTATATCTCTCACAGACCATGAGAGAAACAAATTTACCAAATATATGAATTAGTAGGCGGTTTCCCGGCAATTTTTTTATCATCATGTATTAGTCAAAACATGGTCTTTCACATGATTGGTAATGAGAGCTTCCATTTCATTTTTTGAAATTGGGGCGTTTCCAATACTGGTCTTTACCTTTAAGATTGTGGTATATCTAAGACCCTAATTCAACCAGTTCACCTTTCATTCTTGAGTTACGAAGAACACGAAAATAAAACATTTAAAGGGGGTATGAATAATATAGTTGTTAATTGTACGTGCAGGGAGCAATCCTAATTACCTGGTACGTGTAAGGATTATAGAATACACATTAAAGCCCCACTGACCTACTTGTAGCTACTTGCTCCCTCTATATAAAAACTTCCCCAATCGGTGCCTGTTGGTCTCCCATGATCCTCTTTTTCTTATGTTAAATGAGATAGCCACCTGTCAGTGACCTCGCTGTGTGGTCTAATCCATCCTGGCCCAGTAGTGTTGACGGTCTTTAAAGAAACAAAACTCTCTCCAGACCGTCGCTTTTCCGAAGCTCTTCCGACATATCAGCAACTAAATGCAATGCAATGAATAGGAAAAATTGACGGGTTTAAGCCTATCATTTTTCTATTTTCTATGTAGAGAAAAAGAGGGAGGTGGGGGACTATGTTTGGAAAATCAAGGAAACTGAATTCCAAAAGCAAGCCAGACGAAGTTGTCAAACACGTACACTTTAAACTACATGTACATATCGTACATGACAATAGCACTAGATTGATAGACAGATAAAGAGAGAGAGAGGGGGGGGGGGGGCATAATAGAGAGACAGACAGAAAGGAAAGAAGGGCGAAAAATAGGATGAGTCATCGAATCATAACAACGGCATTTACATCGGTATTACCATTGTCTGGTGTTTTTCGAGGGACTTCCATTATAATAGTTCAATCATATAATCTTAATCTGAAATTCAGGGATTTCAGGGGCATTATCGTAATTCATCACGCCAAATATATTATTAATTATTAGAAGTAACTTAAGTATATAGTAGTATTGTTGTTGTTATAATTTTTATTATTAGTTGTATTAGACTGTATTATTAATCCGAGTATATGTTCATACATTGTACGTCTCATATCAAGCTGTCAGCCTTGCCGAAGTACACTGCTGGGTGATAAAATAATATGCAATAACTGACAAATTAAAATATCCAATAAGGCACCGCAAATCAAAAGGATTAAACGTTCGCCCGTTTACAATATAATTGGTCTTTTGTGACACCAGTAAATACCCTTCCTGCCCAGTTACCATACTCTTGTGCATAGAAAATACATCAACATAATAGACCTTTGTACATCGTCCCATTACACCAATTTTCTGCCTAGTGCAATCTGTTTCAATGAAAAGGTCATCCCATTTTATTTTTGAGTAGGCATTTTGTATCATAAATGCATTTTTGCCCCGTAAGTATGTAGAGGCAAAATCGGGCGGAATCCTAAACGTGAGGTTGGGAGGGCTCTGGGGGTGATTCATTCGGGAGAGCGCGTACATGTATCTAGATAAAAGGGCTTTTTGCGTTTTGTGGTTATGATAATGAAATGATACGGCCTTGTAAACCTATATTGCATTTGAATTGATAGCGGTTGTCTGGTAGGAAACAATAATTTGTTCCGTATTTGGAAAAGCTGTTAATTGACCGTAAACATCTACGATGAATGCGGCACAAATACGGTGATAATTATAACCTTTTATATTAATATTATGAAATATGTCTTGTTTGGTTTTATGACTAAAGATACGAGTGGATAAATATTTATGGGAAGTTGTTTTAATATATTATAATAGTTTAGGATATCCCCATATAGAAAATAATAATTCCAACTGGAATCAAATAATTAGTTATGCAGTTGCACGTTTTACTGTATTGAATTTGGAGGTTAAATGGAGAAAGGTGCGTGTTTGTTAATGTCGTGTTTTATCACGTCACTCCCCCCCCCCCCAAAAAAAAAGTCCTACAGTAAGGGTAAGCCCAGGTACGCCACAACGCCCCCACCCCTCTTTGAAGGAATCTCGTCCTTTTTCATTATTATTCGCGATTCGCCAAGTGAATTTATCAATGATCAAATCATATTTTCGTTAATACTGTCAATTATTTCACGCTACATTAACACATATTTTTCTAGAAGACAGTGTATTCTAATTTCATTTGCACTTGAAACATGTTAAATACAATACCTTCACTCCCGACTCCGCCATGCAGGGACGGCATAATACACCCAAACCGCTGCAACTAATTTTTCTATCCGTATCGCTGTGATTGGATTGGCAGGGCGAGGCGCGCATCGCAAGGAAATCTCATTACGACGCTCTAAGAGGGTTTAGAGATTCGATATAATTGTTAGTTATGCATCAACTGTCAGGATACCTGCTCCATGATAGAATAAGATGTGATGTGGGGAGGATAGATTAAATTAATGTATGATGGAACTTCAGTGAGCGTGCAGTCATTTTAAGTTCATGAAGAAAAGAAAGGAATCTTACCGGCTACAGCGTTGTGGAAGCGTGAAACCTATACTTGAAATAAAAGTTATATATTTACAAAAGGCCGATCAATAATTGTGTTAGGAATTTTGGGCATTTTGAAGCGCGCATTCGAAGGATATTTCATTGAGCCAAATTTGTCTCACTGTACACTCAAATGGCCAGATATTGATAAATATTTAAGCATCTGTTTATTTTCTTTTAGTTTATTTATTTCATTCATTCATTCCTTCATTCATTTACTTATGTTATACACTCATTCATGTATATATTCATTGAATTGTCAATTAATTAATTAATTAATGACTGTTTTTAATTATGTTATGGGGTGAGGCTTGAGGGATCATCCGTAGTTTCGCCGCTATAAATGACTAGAGAGAGAGAGAGAGGGGAGGGGAGATTTCATTATTTTTTTGTGTGAACAAATGACAGGCACTGTTGGGCTTTGTGAAGCGCGCATTGCAATGAAATCTCATTAGGGTGTTCTAATCTAAGAAGATCAATTGATTCGATATAATTGTTAGTTATGCATCAACTGTGGGATACCTGCCCTCGGGATAACGAGATGATGTGGTGGGGGGGGGGGGGGTAGATTAAAATGTATGATGGCATTCCAGTGAGTGTGCATGCAAGTTCAAGATCAACATGAACTAGAGAGGTGTACTGCAGCATTGTGGTATATAGCGCGAAAGGTGACTATGGTCCTTTAATATTATGAATGAAGAATCGTCGTGAAATATGACAAAAGTCTAATGAAAAACAGTCATTACTTATTCAACGATTAAGTGAATATATAAATGAATGCATGAATGAATTAGTAAATGAATGAATAAATCAATGAGCAAATGATGAATGAATAAATAAATGAATACAAAAGTAAACTCGTGTTCAAATAGTTATTGATATCTGGCCATTTGAATGTGCAGTGGGGCAACTTTAGTTCCTCCATTGATGGGGGCACTGTTACGAAGGTGGGTTGCCGATTTTACTTGGTGACTGTAAATGTAAAATAAAGAAGTCTTCAGTTGGGGGTGGTACGGGAGGGGTCCTGTCATCTCCTCGTTATCTTGACCTTTCTCATTTTTTTTTCATTTTAACTTTTACTGTCTGCTTTGCTTTTTCTTCTTCTTACTGTTTTATTTTATTTCTTTTTTTTAAAAGGGAGGGGCACTAGCCTCCTTTGCTACGGCACTATGAATGTGTGAGAGATTGCAATGAATGCATCATTGTAAATTCATAGTGACATCATTGTTAATTTACTTTAAATCAACTGAGTCTGTAACCTTAATATCGTAAACGAAAGTGAAGAAAGAAACATGAGAAGGAGACGTGCGTTTCATTCTATACGCACCACCAACTTGAACTTGATCTAGCCTCTGCGTCAAGGGAGAACAAACGCAGAAATGTAGAGCGGGGCAAATAGAGAAGGAAAAGGATAAGGATGGAGGTAGAGAGAGAGAGAGAGAGAGAGAGAGAGAGTGGGTGGAGATAGAGGTAGAGAGAGGGAGGAGGTGAGGGACAGGGGATTGACCGATGGGGGGGGGGGGGGTAAGAGGGATGGGACGACGGGGTTGAGTAAGGAAGAAAGAGAGAGCGAAGGGGAGGGAGTAGGGAGAGGGTGAGAAGATGTATAGATGGGACAGATATAGAGAGGGAAGGATCGGGGGTATTTGAATTTATTGATTTAATTATAATTTTATTGAAGCAGGGTTGCCTCTTCACTTAAAACACTGCTATCCCGGAGGGCTCTGAACTATACAAAAAAAACAATGTAGACCTATCTGAAATATTTACAGACTTGGGTACAAATTGAACTCATAAATAATTTTTTTTAAAGGTTATGAATTCAGAGATAAAATAATGACATAAGAAAAAATATTATGAATAACATGTTGCAAAGTGCAGCTAATAATTATCAAAACTTCCAATTGATAGAGAGGGGAAGAGAAGAGAGAGAGAGGTGGACAGAGAGAGGAGGGGAGGAGAGGGAGAGAGAATTATCTGGGAATGATGATCGGTGTACAGGAAGGCCGAGAGGCAGGTAGAAAGATAGATTGGGAGGGAAGGACGGAAGAAGAGTGAGAGATAGAGATAGAGAGAGAGGGGGGGGGGGGGGGGGGAGAGAGCACAGTACCATTATCAGATTATGCTTGCCAAAGAGCCGGCCCATTTGTGGTACATCCAGGGCTTTGTCCATTCCAAACGTTAGAGCTTTCGTGACATTTTGTTTGACATTTAAATGCCGGAATCAAATGCGACATTTATGCCAGCATTAATACTGCCCCGAGGTCTTTCCCGTGCAAGAAGGGTAACTAATCTGCACTTTATGCGACCTCTCGCACGAGTGTATATACGCATTGGACCTAAATATGGTCACCATTCCATGTATAAGTGTTGAAACGTCCGTATGTTCAAACGTGCATACAAATCTTTTCCAAAAGCGAATCTGTAATTTGGCCGACAAAATCCTTTATTCATTCGGAAAATGTTGATTTTTTTCTTCTGCTCACATCAGAGATCGTTATGCCAATAATAATAATAATAATAATAATAATAATAATGGATTCTTGCATGTAAATAGCGCACGTTTCGACCTTGCAAGGTCCTCAAGGCGCTCCAACATTACCCGGCCTCTCGGTTTTTTAATAAGTGAAATAGCCTATAGCCTATATGTGGCCAATTAATATAGACTTTAATTGTTACTACTAATAGGTACCGTTTACTCATCGTTTATTTACCCTTATTTCACGGTAATGGAGAGAGAAAGAGAGAGAGAGGGAGAGAGAGAGAGAGAGAGAGAGAGAGAGGAAAGACGGTGCCTAAAAAACAATACTGTGACCCCCCCCCCCCCCCCTATATAATAATAATAATAAAAATACCTAGTTCTTATATAGCGCTTTTCAGGGCCGAAGGCCCTCTCAAAGCGCTTTACACATATATATATTATTACCTCGGTCATCGGGTATTTTATTAAAGAAAAGGGGATTTTAAATAAAGTTAATTCAATTGATTAAACGTCTACATTCTGCACTCTTTTCTTCACTTCATGTTCGATAGGTCTGTGTTTGAGCGATGTCGCCGCCGTCTCACGGACCGTCGTGTTCCAAGGGAACTCGGCCGAGCTCGAATGCCAAGTCGACGACGCCGTCATCACCATCCATTGGAAGAAGGGTGACGACATCGATATAGCGACCACAGTGGCGTCTTTCGTGGACGGTGTCCGAGAGGGAAGCGACGGTGGTCGTATTTCGATGTCTTCGTCCAGATCATTGGTGATCAACGATGTCGATATAGCGGATGAAAGCATGTATTATTGTATTGTCACGTTGACGTCATCGAGCAATGATATAGTGATTGAAGCCCAGTTAGAAGTTGCAGGTAAATATATTCACAATCGATTTATGATGTCATGATGATGATGGCTATGCCGCCTTGGGTAATATAGCACGGCAGGATTATTATCTCTTTTTCGTTCTTTTGCGTTTCCATGTTAATCTCACTGTTAAAAGAAATTATTTAAAAAAGTGATCAGACATTAATTTTAATAATTATTTATTAGATTTCCAACCACATTATTTGAATCAGAATTGTTGTTATGCTGTTTTTTGTTTGGCCTGAATAATAAATATTGGAAGAAAAGCCTTATCCGACCACATAATTACGAAACGGAGACTCGTGAGACTGGTCACTGGAGAGACATTTTTGGAACTTACCTAGCGATATAAATTATATGGTTCACATTTAATGTCTGGCATGAATTGTAATAAATCCTTAAAGGTAAAGACCAGTATTGGAAACGCCCCAATTTCAAAAATGAATGGAAGCTCTCATTACCAATCATGTGAAAGAATATGTTTTGACTAATACATGATGATAAAAAAAATTGCCGGGAAACCGCCTACTACTAATTCATATATTTGGTAAATTTGTTTCTCTCATGGTCTGTGAGAGATATAGGGTAGTCCCATAAACATCTTTCTGTGTATAGTGCTTGTAACTTTACGAAGAATGGGCCAAATTTCTTATCATTTTGATGATTCCAGAACCTTGCAGATGCTAGATGCTAGATGATCAACCTTTTCTGATCGATTCCACAACGTTTCTTTCACAATGCAATCGCATGACCATAACTGGTCTTTACCTTTAAATGGAGTATAATGACAATTAATTTTAAAGCGCATAGCAATGTAATCGTCCGGAATATTGTTTAGCTTATTTTGTTATAATGAGTTTTTCGAATCTCTATATTCTGTTTTAGTACCTCCAGCAGAGCCGTACCCTACCATAGCTTTACTCCAACCCACTTCATCGCCATCCGCAAACGCATCTTGCCAATACACCATACCACAAGGCACCCAATACCGATTATCATGCGAGGTAGCTAGCTTCAGGCCGTCTGTCGAGCTTGTCTGGTTCGTTAACGACGTATCTGAGGGCGGAGCCCCGCTGAAGTTTGCGGACAATCCGGACGGGACGAGGGATGTGTATGGTAGCCTCGACGTGACAATGGGTGTTTCGAACATGGATGTCAGATGTGAAGTGAGCGGTGAGGCGGTGCCGGGCCCACCCCAGATAATGACAGCGTTGGTCTGTTGGGCCCCGAGCACCAGCGGTAAAAACATTTTAGAATTGTTTTCAGCTCAGTTCAAAATCTTATATCAGTATATGAAGTGTCGTAGTCGAGTGGTTTAAGCACTTGACTTTGGCAAGGCATAAATCTACATTTGCCACTTAATACCCTAGAGAGAAATGGGGACCCTGTAGAATGACAAAAGCATTTTGTGTTAGTAATTGCCTATGCCCTCATGGGGGATCATATGGTAAGAATACTTCCCAGGGAGTGGAGATGGCGCACATTGTGCGTGAATGAATCGGATGACCGGGGTAATAATATTTGTAAAGCGCTTAGAGACGATATACCGTATTAAGCGCTATATAAATCAAAATTACTATTATTATTATATGAGTAAATAGCATCAAACAAAGTTTGTCTATTCTATTTCTATTGTTAATAGACTCTAATATTTTTGAAAGTTAAGCCTGCATCTCAATACAAACTTATTTTACCTCCAAAATGTTCAGCTGTTCAGATACAGCTTTCGTCAGCGTTGTGTCCCGACTTAATCTTCGACCATTGTGACGTAATTGACAAAAATCGAGTCGTAGACAATTACGTCAGATATAACAAGTCGGGTCACATCTTTGATGAAGGTTGAAGCTGAACAGCTGAACCTTTCGGAGGTCAAATTTTGTATTTCCATCAGAATTTAAAATTGCAAACATTCATATTACCAATACCGATGAACTTTCATGATTGTAACACGATAATATATACCAGGTAATATAGAGGTAAACTTTGATCTTAATTTTATATTTCTGTTGTCCCAACTATTATGTTGCAGGTGGAAGCAATACCACAACCATTATCGTCGTAGTAGTTATCGTCATTGTATTAATAGCAGTCGTCGTAGGGATTGCATTATGGATGAAAATATGTGAGTATATGGTTGGAGTACAAATATAACTATTGAATTATTAAAGTTAATATGAATTTAAAGGCAGGGTATTCGACAAAATATACCTCAGATTTACTTATACTGTCATCTACTACTCACAATGTCCCAACGTGTCGACAATAATTTCCCACAATGCATCCAAAACTGATAACGCACGCTTGATGATGTTTGGGTACACGATCCGGAAATCGCTCTATGTACGCCTTGAGCGAAAAATGGTGCAATTGAAAATACAGTAGCCTACATCGGTGATGTAGATCGGTGATCGGTGACAGTGATGCCGGTTAAAACGCCTTGCCTTTTAATTGCTGAAAGTGCATTTTCCATAAAAAATGAAAAGGGCATCGGATGTTCATACTACTTCAAGTTAGAATAACATAGAATGAGTTTTCAAATGTGGCTGGCAATCATTTTATATTTCACCCTTTACTGCTTTAGGTATTATGTTTGTACAATCAATAAACTTTTAATAATGTTTGATGGTCGCATCAACAACAAGCTCCATATAATGAAAGAAGAATTCGCCAAGCTTCCAGGACATTTTGCGCCGAATAATTCACATTAATACCGATCCTAATGAAGTGCCTTTAATCGTGTTTCTAAGAACGGGACATTGTTGGTGTTATGTTTGTGTAATTCTGTCGAGAAAATGCGGTTTCGATTGATTATCGCCTGGATATATACCTTTCTAACTGTTTTTTTTTCCTTATTTCATTTCTTCTATAGTGATAAGAGACACAATGGTACGATCAAATTACAGTAAAACAGCGAGTGCTGACGGTGAGTGTAAATTTTTGTTTGTTTTACTTCCAGGAAGTATATTTAAACACCTAATCCCTGTTAAAGGTACTATGTCCCTTTTGCAGCCAACCTCAAATTCTGTAGAACTTTGCAGGAATTATGAATACGTCATGTATGTCCTATCTGTGAAATTTAAACGTTAGCAGTGTCCTCATATTCAAATTATGCAAGGAAACCCGTTTACTTGCTAGACTTCACTGCCAGACACTATTGAGTGACTGACTGGCTTTTTTCTTCTTTGGTAATAACATACATGAAAAGAGTTGTAAAGGGAACATGAGCATTTGTCTACATCAATAACCCACTTCTTGTGATGGCCAAGATTAAACTGATTGAATCTTTGCGCAGCATAAAACGTATGACCATTCGGTACAATTGTCTGAAAATCAAGACTATTACTTTTGGGCTCTATAGCCCTAAAGTCGATTTGACAACTAATAGTCGTTTTTTTCCCACTTGAAGACATTTTCAAGCCCAACCTTTTTTAGGGAAGCTCTTAATTAGTATTATCTTTCAAATGCAGTTGGAATTTAACTTTTTCATTTTTTGGCCTGCAAATGGGACATAGTACCTTTAATAACGACCTAAATTGAAAGTCACGAATGATGTTGACGAATTTGTGTCAATATAATCAATTTTTTATGGAACAGAATTTTCAGAAAACATCACCTCGAAACTGTCGTTCTTTACCCATCTCCGAGTTTTTCGTGACGTAGCAGCCTATTTAGCGGATGAATAGTTAGTTGTTATGTCCAAATAAAATTTGTGTTCAATCATTCTTGAGCAAGAACAAAACAATAGATTTGAACAAAGTACATTTTGTGACATAGATGAAGAGTTACGAGGTAGTAAGGATTGAAAGATGGAAGATTACTACGAAGTATGCTTATATTTTATCTGATTAAAGGTAATATTGAATTATCATTTTTGAAGAACAAACATTTATTTTATTTAACTTTGATCAGACGATACACCATCTCGAAGCCGCATGTCGAATTTCTGCCACATCTGCTGTGCGACCTGCTGCCCGTGTACGGTGCGGGAAGATGAAATCGATGCCGAGACGCAGAGGAGAAAAGGGGCATCGTCATCGCACTCGAAGGAGGAGAGAGCGAAGAAAGCGCCCTCAGCAGGTGAGACCGATTTATGTTGGATTGTACTTTTCATGGTTTAGCATTGACACGATAGGGAGTTTTGAGTCGGTCTTACGCCTGTGGTACGGTCAGCTCCCTGCTTTTGCATACATACCGACTCTAAGGGACCCGTTAAGTTCCCGAGACACCTGCGTCTTATGAATGGTTGTGTAAAAGGGCGGTCCCCAGACGTAAATGTACTTTGATTGATAAAAGTTCGTAAAAACTATCAGATCGCACACGCTCTGTCATAGATAACTGAACGCTGGATAAAGCTTGGTTTAGTTTGTAGGCTTTATGGTTGCTGTTAAAATGATAAGACGCAATTATTCATCTTACCCATATGACACCCTTTTTCTAATATTATATCAATGAAGTCTGGTATCGGATGCGAAATAATTATGTCCTCAATTGATAAAGTTAGCTTTAAAATGACCCCAACTAATATTTAGGTACTATCCTTCCAGTTGCAACAAGTTCAAATCTTTCTCCCCCTCTCTCTCTCTCTCTCTCTCTCTCTCTCTTTCTGTCTCTCTTTCTATCTTGTTATCTCTTTCTATCTTTTTTCTATCTTTCTCTCTCTCTCTCTCTGTTTTTGCTTGTTAGAAGAAAAAAGGATTGCTAACTTATCGGCAAATTTTAGAATGTCCCACATCCCCTGTTCAAAATAAACGACGCCCCATAAAGAGTAGATTTTCCCTTTCCCTTGCCATATTGCAATACTAGTAATTCATATTCGCAAATATATGGATAATTCTGATACCAAAACTGTACAATTTTCTATTTTAACAAAGATCAAGGTTAAATAATGATTGATTCAATAAAGTGATAATGATCTCCCTTTTCTGCGTTTTAGCGCTAAAAGCAAGAATCCAACAAAATCGGAAGAAACAAGAAGGAAAGTCTGGAGCGGCTGCAGAAAGTAATCACGTGCCTTCCGATAAGCCGACTGAACATTCACCTATGCTAGGTAAGATCTTATGCATCATTGTCGTCATCATCATTATTATTTTCGCCTCCTACCGTATCTGAGTTATTTACTGTATATTCTATGTTGAAATAATAATTATTGTTACATATATCATGTATATAATTATACAGTGTGTTTCATATTGTACTGTTGAGAAGGAAATAAATGTTAATAAAAATACAAAATACAAAATTACTATTTTATTATTATCTATTTACTATCCATTTTTACTGAACTACGTCTGCAAAGTGACATCAAAAGCATGCTCAGAAACAAACAAGGGATGGCATTTTGAAGAAAGATATTAAACAGTCCGCATTAGTGTTGCTTGATTTTATAATGTGTGACTTAGAAATTCCCTTTGCGGACATTCTGTTTGTTTTTCTTTTGTTTTGTTTATTATTTAAAAAGTTATGCTATACCTTTTATAAGCTTATATCTTTCTATTATGTGATCAATTATGAATAATCTACCTAAACATAAATATTGACATTATTTTGTTCGATGTGATGTTATTTGTACCGTTGGGAAATGATAACAAAATTGGAATTGAACCTTTACAGAAAACCCAGATGAGACGTCAACTCCGATGAATCCTAAACCTCCTGGTGCGAGGCCTAAAACGAGACCCATTGATGATGCCTCAGTTGTTATTAGGTGAGTTTAATAGAGATCATGTTCACACGTAGATTTTTGTTGTTAATTACTGGTGACGAGGTTGGCCGCGAAATCTGTCTGACAAGGGGCGTCGCTATGGGCATCTCAGAGAGGGGAGGAAGTTGCTGGATCATTTTTCTGACAAGTCAGACAAGTTCCTCCATTATAGTGAAGCTTCTATATCCGACCCACACAACAGAGTATGGGGACCTCTGTCATTCGAAATCATGGCTCATAAATTTAACTTTAAAAGATATCGGGGCTCTCGTCATAATAATCATAGACATAGTCATAATAATCATAGACCAGAGCCCGTTACACAAACTTGTCATCAGTGACAAATTACAATTTTTTATTATAAGCTACTGAAATCCTTGCTTCTGATTGGTTATAAGCAAATTTGTCTCTGGTTTTTGTCATTTTGTCATTGAAAAAAGTCTTTGTGAAACGGGTCCCTGATGAGTTGTGACTGATCCAAATCGACTGCAATCACCTAGTGATTTGTTGGAAAACTAACACTCTTTACTTTTTCTGATTATTTCCACCTCAGAGTTCCACATCAAGCACCGCAAAGTCTAGTAGAGACGAACGGGACAGCAGCGGGCGAGGCAGAGACGGGCTTCTGATAGAATGAAGTACCTCGCCGATTGAAAGCATCCATTCGCCACTATTAAACAGTACTTTTATCAAGGTCTATACATGCTATTATGGTGGAATGGAACAAGCCTTAGTCGATGTTTTGCGACCGATTTGACAAGGCATGAATCCGCTGGAATTTTTTTGTACACAGATGGCGTGGTATAATGCCTCCTACAGATTTTGTTCCAAGTACATGGACGTGACGTGGCTTACCGCCTCAAGAATATCGCCGTGGCAAAATCGTATAAAGAAAGCATGAACTAGAATTAAAATGTCCGCTGATCGACTCTTTATTACTAGAACGACAAAGGGTTCCATGATTCAAATTAAATATTTTGGACATCCAACTTAGACAAGTAGTGAGCGAATTCGTAGTGATGGTATAAACATGAGCCAAGAAACATTAGGGACACCACATTTGCCAAGTCCATTAGCAAAACACGCTGTAACTTAGGTCCTCTTTTGAAGTTGTGCCCCTTTCAGACTAGGCGTAATCTTGGTGGAAAGGACTGCGTCAGCCTTCGTCAGCCAGCGACAAAAGCGGTCTTTGACGCAGCTTGTGAGTGTCATTAAACAAAAGGTGAACGCAATTGAACCTTAAAACCACTGCGCTAAATTTATGGTGAATACATTCACAGACAGGTACTGGCGCAAATGACGCCTTGCATGCAAGCGGCATTATGTCATTTGTTTTAATGCTTGCGCCAAACTGGATGGTTTGGCTGGCATGACCAGCCTGACTTGCCTGCGTTTCAAAAATCTGATTTTGTCCAGGGCCCCGTCTTATAAAGAGTTGTCGTTGATCCAAATCAATCGCAAGTCCTCTAATCAATCGCAAGTTTGCAGTCTCCTATCTCTTATGTGCATTGTTGTGAATGATATCAATCGCAAATCAGCTCTTTATGAGACGGGCCCAAGAGTCATTTTGACGGGAAAATACTTCAAACTGCTCTACTGTATGAACAAATAATTTCTTTTCTCGTTTAAGTAAAGCGTGATGATAAGTATGCCTATAATTATTTTAATATTTTGTAAAGTGTATACTTTTTACTTGTTATACCCGATGTTTCGAAATTTATTGGTTATATTTGGGCGTAAATATTGAAATAAGATAAATTTGTTGTGAGACGGCCTGCACTACGCATTTGCTTCATCCTCAAAAGAATAAATTGATGAACTTGGGATAACAATTATTTACATGTCGAATGCCAATGATATTGTTTATTTAGAATGCTTTTCAATACACTTCCATTCTTTCATATTCCCAGCGTGTGATGTATTGTTGTAATCCTTGTCAAAAAGAATTTCACGTTCATTTACATGTGTTGCTCACAGAGTTGGAATATTCTTTTCTTACCCTTTCTCTTGAAGTGATTGTGAAAATATGGTTAATTCTTGATTATAAAAGCTCCATCTTTTTATAGAAAACTTTATTTAACAATCTATATTGATCCATCAAGTTCTAAGAACATAGACCTAATTATTAACTTTATCTATCAAGAATTCATATTGTCCCAATCGTTACATGAACAGAGGTAATTAAATTTATCCCAACGTTATGGGCAATCATTAGATATTAAGTTTTATACTCGCTACTTTATTTTAAGGAAGGATTGTAACAAATTATTTTGTATTCAGAAAAAATAAACTCGCAGCTGCATGCACTTTTATAGATATTCATTACGCTTTGAATGATGCAAAAAAAAAAATGCTAATCAAATCTCTGATTTTAAATATTCGCCGAAGTATCAACATTTGTGTAGATTTTATTATGTATACCTTTTACTTGATAATATCGATTTGTACATGCACTTGAACTCATTTTCCGTTTGACTGTTAGTTTTAAAACAGCACTCTACTCCACGCTATCCTATCGGTATTTCCGTTTTCTATCTGGTCGACTATAATTCAAATGCACTTGTGTTTTCGTTGGTTTATGACTGGCATTGCCATTTAATCTTGACATGCGTAACTAATTTTCATTGCCTATAATGCTTGCAGAGTCAATCATGACTTTGTGTCTTAAATTTCTTATGTTTTGTGTAAATAGTAAAGAGGGGATCTACGCTTTCTTTTGCCACTTATTGTAATGTATTGCAATCTTTATTAGTTGGAAAAAATAAGCAGAAGTTTGTACAATATTTTGCACGTATTTGTATCAGTGTATAAAACAGGGACGTCTGTAGCCCATTATAAAAGAGGGGGGCCGAAAGCGCCCCACTCAAGATTTCCAAGAAGGAAAGATAAAGATTAGAATCATCTAGAAACGTAGCATTCTATGGCAGATATTGTTTTGGTATCTCTTGAACTGCTTCCATTGTAATTCCATACCGAAAACAAACCTCATACTCGGTTGATGTATCATTCATTTATCGTAAGTACAAATCGCCGTATACCATTGAATATGTGTATTTCCGTAGCATGCGGTGTCGGCAAACTTGACGTGTACTTACGTTGAATTCGTGAAAGTACAATGCTCAGTTCAGGTTAGACACTGTCTGTGTGTGTTTGGAATGAATATACATATGTCATTATTTCTATAATATCTTTATTCGAATACATTTTCGTGGATTGATCAGTACTATGACTTGAATCAAATGTGTGACAAAAATGGGGGTCGGGGATGGGATTAAAACGGTACACATCATGACTGAAAAAAATATATAACGTATTCAGAAAAATGTATTGTTCTAAAGCATCTGAAAGGATATAACTGTATTCATTGAGAAGTTGTTCATCAGTACTAAAAATACTTTAGATCAGCATGTTGTGATCAAATCTATGAATTCATTAAAGGGTGTTTAGCTGTACTTTATCGCCTTGATAACTGCTGTTTAGCAAAACATCCTTTCGATATTATGTATATTGTACGACTCAGATTCTATGACTCTGTTATTGGTTTAACGTGATTGTTCACAACTCGTAATTGTGACCAAAATTGGTAGTTCAGCAACTTCAGCTATATATTGTAATACAATGCTTCTCATACCTGTATTCAATAAATCAGTACTTGCGTACTCTTGAGCATTTTATACCGACATTTTTGTGTGCATAAATCTAGTTTTAAGTGAGAAAAGAAAAACGATTCCATGCCTATTTATTGAGTGTATGCATCCGACTGCTACATTCATGTTCTCATTAAATACTAGGCCTATATTTTTTGGCCAAACAAAGAAAGAATGTTTAATGTTAATCGGAAATGGTTTCTGAGTAATCTTGGTGCCTATTACATCACTTGATTAGACTCATTTTTAATCATGATGAAAGAAATGACAGGAACTATAGTTTGGCCATAGTTTGTTTTTCATATTGAACTAAATAGTTTGATTACTCCATGTCATTACAGTCCACACCACTCTTTATAGTTTGAGGTAATTCTGAGCTAAATTAGCATAGAAGAGGAAAGGAGAGGAGAGTGCTACTGACGCTCGGGGGGGGGGGGGGGGCACGATTTTCAATTGGCGGATAAAGTGCGAATAGACAGTTTCAAAAAAAACGGGGGGGGGGTGGGAGGTCCAAAAGTGTACTCAGTGTTTTTCCCAACTTCTTTTCCCATTCTCTCTTTCTTTCTGTCAGCATTTTCTTTTCTTTTTCTTTCTTTCTTTTTTGTCCTGCGATTGGGGGGGGGGGCACGTGCCCTCCTCTGCCTCCTGTGGCGCTACGCCACTTCCTATAACCCATACGCACAGTACGCTTTGATCCATTTTGAAGAGCGGAGTGATAATAAACGTCACATTTCCTCTGTTTGATTGTGCTTGACACCAAGTCATAGGACCTGAAACGTGTGCCTCTATTACTACATAAATTTAAGAACAACTTAGTCAGTTAGATAATTTTCTTTTCCTAAACAAGACAATTAAGGAAAATTTATCGTCTCGATGTCGAATTTCGTTTACCCTCTTTGTTATCTTTTCCTTTCCATCTCTACATATCTTTTAGTATCTTTTTTTTTTTACTGGGGCATGTTCATGATAAAAATGATTGTGAAATAAAGGTATTCTTGTTACGCTCGGGTAAAGATTGAAATGCGGTGTACTGCGCATGAGTTTGATTGTCCGAAAGAGAGAGAGAGAGAGAGAGAGAGAGAGAGGGAGGGAGAGAGAGGAGAGAGAGCGAGAGAGAGAGAGAGAGATGAGAGAGCGCAAGAGAGAGAGACAGACAGACAGACAGAGAAAGAGAGAGAGAGAGAGAGAGAAAGAAAGAGAAAGAGCGCAAGAGAGGGAAAGAGAAAAAGAGGGAGAGAGGTGTATACTTTTGGGGTCATGCGGTGTATGAATATTACAAACCGGAACAATAGAAGAACTCTCGTGCGAATAAAAACTTAATTCAAGCGAATAAACCGGCGAATAAATCACAAAAGCTTACGTACGTGACCTTCGTCAAAAGATAGACCATCTACAGTGTTCAGTGAATACATGTATATAAATTTATATGAGAAGCAGGGATTCCAATCAGTACACTGGTTATGCTATGCTGGTAGCATACGTGCAATATGCTACTCTCACGTTCCATAGTTCAATCGTTTTGATATCATATCGGGCAATAACAAAAGAATGCACGAAGTATTTCATTCCGTTCGATATGCGCTAAAATATGTGAATGGACGCTATTTATCTGTAAATATATAGGTCTCGCAATGGAATGCTAATCTTTTTTGTAGGGATATATTATTACTCGATCTCCGACATTGGTACATCATTCATATCTCGATCTGTTAACAACCCGAGTTCCTCGGGGAGCAGTTGAATGGCGAATACATCACTTCTGCCGCGGAGACAAAGTCTGGTCCCGTTCATATGTTTCTGTGTTATGATTTTTACCCTACCTTCAAGCCAGGGGGGCAACGTCCTCATCACCACAAGTCTGGGGGAAGGTTCACATTATTTTGTTGGGAAGACGATCGGAAAGTACCTGGTGAAACATGGTCATAATGTAACGATGCTAGTCAGCAAAGCTTATGCTCATCGGGCTGAAAATCCAGATGACGCGGAACTGAATTTCATCGTTTTTCATCAGTCAGCCGAGCAGATTGAGTCAGTGAAAGAAAGACATTTGTCCTACTCAAAGGTAGGCCCTATTTCATTGCAATTTATCATTTAATAGTTCAAGGACAGTAGAGTGATTGAAAGAGGACTCCCAGCTTAGGATTACATCAATATGAAAGTGATAATAAGGAAAAGACGCGCCGTCAACTACTAGACGCGATTGTATAATCAAAACAAAGGTATATAAAATTACAATATTATAAAGCACATCATACCATAACTTATTCAAATGAGGAAAATAGATATTTTGCGTTTTCCAATTAAGATTAATCTTAAAAAGTTAAGGCAGTTTCTTTCATATGTGTTTGTTATTTCAAAATAGTATTGCAAATTTCATAGAACTCACAGTTTTAAAATAACTATAAAGTACATGTATATACCTGGTAGTGGCGTAATGAAAAAAAAAAAAATCCTTTTTTTGGGGGGGGGGGGGGTAGAAAAAAAATCCGCATCACCCAACTCTTACATGCAGGCTCCGCTGAACGTTTTTAAAAAGTGGAGTCTAGAGGCAAAACTTATCTCGAGTGTATAAACTGTGTTGTTATCAGGGGCGTCGCTAGACCTGTTGCAGTGGGGGAGGGGTGTAGAGGCCACCGATTACTGACAAAACGAGCCACCAATTACCAACAAATATATTAATGCCAATGTCCCAAAGTCTACAAATTTAAACCTATCAACCCGGGGCCAGGAACTAAGTTATTTTCAGTCCCCCCCCCCCCCCCCCCCCCCCCCCCCGTGAAGCGCGGAAGCTTTGTCACTTCATTAAATTATTAGAGAAAGAAAACGATCTGTTGTACCGTTCTCGACTCTTAAATATTATTTCGCCCCTCCTACGCGAATCGCAGAAGCTATGACGAGTCATTTACTTATTAGAGAAAGAAGACGATTCATTGTACCGTTCTTGACTCTTAATCCTTGTCTGAATTCAGTTCCACCCCCCCCCCCCCCCCCCCCCCCCCCCCCCCCCCCACCTCCCGCGCAAAGCGCGGAAACTTTGCCGTTTCAATAAATTATTACTCTTAATCCTTGTTTGAATTCACTTTCGCCCATCCCAATGGAAGCGCGGAAACTTTCACGATTCATTAAATTTTTTGAGAAAGAAGACGATTCGTTGTATCGTTTCGTTGTCTGAATTCAGTTTCTCCCCTCCCGCGCGAAGCGCATAGGCTTTGACGTTTCATTTAAATATTACTCTTAATCCCTGTCTGAAATCATTTTCGCCCAATGGCTGCTCGTAGCCCGGAAGCTTTCACATTTCATTAAATTATTAGATAAAGAAGACGATTCGTTGTGTACCGCTCCCGACTCTTAATCCTAGTCTGAATTCAGTTGCCCCCCTCCCGCGCAAGAAGCGGAAGCTTTGCCGTTTCATTATTATTATTAGAGAAAGAAGACGATTCGTTGTACCGTTGTCTACTCTTAAGCATTGCCTGAATTCAGTTTCCCCACTGGGTCCCTCAACGGTACACGTGCAGTCAGGGGCGTACGCATGATTTTTTTTCGAGGGGGGGGGGTTAAAATTTGAAAATCGCGTCGAAAATTTCGCAACGACTCAGCCACCCGCTGGGTAAGCGGGGGGGGGGGGGGGGGGGGGGGGGGGTAAGAGCACATTTACACGAAACAAATTGGTCCAGAATTTAATGGGAAAAAAATCCTCTGGACGGCCATGCATTAATATGGCTCAAGGCATGGGCACACACAGCATTTTGTTATGTTGGGGACCGGGGTAAAATGCAATAAATTATTGAAAATTTATTGCATTTTTTTTTTTTTTTTTTAATTTATGGAAACTGCCCCCTACCCTAGCCCGTCCGCTGGGTACATTCATGGTTCAGTGACAAAGCAATGGCCTCGTAACTGTGAGGCCCCAGGATCAAAACCGTGACGATGTGCTATATTAGTGCCATTTTGTGGGGCATTAATCCTCATTACTGTCATTTATGACTGAAGGGCGTAGGTCCCCTAGTTGATAAGCATAGTAGGATACACATGCTTTAGCAGTCACGCAAAACACAAATTGGCAAATTATTATTCAATAAAATCTGAGAATGTATACTATTATCTAGATCTATTAGGAATATTTTTTTTTTTAATTCCATAAATTGGGGTAAAACAAAAATATTCCAACTATATGAGCGACAGTGTATGTTGACCCCTCCCCCTCTTATTTTTGTATTATTTATTCATTCACATATTTATTTATTCAATATTCATTTATGTAAACATTTGTTTATATATTCATTAATTCATTAAATTATTCATTTTTGATAGAATGCACTAGAACCGAGTGGCGCGGCGTACTTGTATAAACTCATTCAAGCACATCGGAAGGGGGCCGCCGACGACTGCGATGAGCTCCTCGGACAGAACCCCGACGTCATGCGCCGACTCGAAGAGGGGAACTTCGACGTGGTCGTCTACGACATGATCTGGTTGTGCAGCTTGATGTTGGCAATGAAACTGAACGTGCCCGCTGTGTTATCCTCCCCCATGGCTGCCCCGACGATGCTCTCCATGTACGCGGGAAACCCCGTGAATCTGGCCTACACTCCCGATGTAATGAATGGTTATAATAACAAAATGACATTCTTCCAGGTTAGTTTATTTGTTTTTATCTATCTAGTCGTTATTCGTTATTGTTTCAATTATTCATTCATTCATTTCTTTATGTTTTTTTTATTTATTTATTTATTTAATCATTTGATTTTACTCATTTATATGTATAAATTATATTCAAATATATTAATTTATAAATATCTTTCTACAATCATTCATTTTTCCATTCATTTATTGATTAATTGAATTCAATAATTACTGTACATTTCTATACTGCTATACTACTACTACTACTACTACTAGTACTACTTCTACTATACTACTATTACTACTACTACTACTACGACTACGACTACGACTACTACTACTACTACTGTGGTTTCTCTTCTTATTCTACTTCTACTTCTAGTCTTATTCTACTACTACTACTACTACTACTACTACTACTACTACTACTATTTCTTCTACTTCTACTAATACTAATACTACTACTACTATAGAAGAAAATAAGTACTCACATGCCTTTTACTTTTCTTTATTTATTGTTTATTTTCTGTTTACAGCGTGTAAACAACGTGATTGCCAACCGAGTTTTATATTCGTTATTGGAGTACCATCATGTACCGTACAATAGTATCAGAGAACGACACCAGATCAGACCGGATTTATCCGGTTCTATCGCAAATTTGGTCGGGACCTATACCGATCTGTTCCTGGTCAATCTGGATTTCGCCGTCGAGTTCCCGCTCCCGCTCAACCCGAACATCATCACCATGGGGGGCATCACGGCCAGGCCGGCATCATCTTTACCAAATGTAAGATATCTTCTTTTAACACGGTCTTTGAAAAATGTGTTTCGGTTTTTTAAGGATGAAAATAATAAGAAAGGGGGAAAACAGACGGATAAGCAAACAAATATGAACGAAAGCCAGAAGAAAAACATCTACCGAATATTTACGGAGTTTAGAAGTATTTTTATGCGAGAAAAGTTGCATGTTTTATTACTTTAACTGAACCCGCTCAAGATCAGCTCTATCTATTCTGTTAATATTTTCGAAAAACGCAAGTATACAAAAGAAAATAATATATAACAAGTAAAAACTTCAATTGATGTAGCCCCGCCCTCACCTCTGTTTCTCTCTCCTTTTCTCTCTGTCACTCTCTCTTTCCCTCTCTTTCCTCTTCTCCATCTCTCTCTTACTCTCTCTCTCCCTTTTTCTTTTACTCTCTCGATCCTGTAGATGTCATTTTATCACTCTCTATATGTCATTTTTTATAACACATTGAAAATGAGCTTGCATCAAAGCTCGTAATGATGACAAACACGATGACTTTCAATTAGCAAAAACGCTCATCCTTACTTTCCGTTGTTGAAGGTTAAAACTTTTAAAAAATCACTCTATTTTTGGTAGTTATTGATCTTATACTGTATAATTTGGTTTAAAGGGAAAACCAAAAATACTTGGATATGGTAAAACGGAAAATCTGTGAGTACTGAATTCTTTTAGGACAAACCGGTATGGGATAAGAAAGTTGTTAACAATATGTGATTTAAAAAATGCATCGTAAGGTTTTATTTATGCTAAAAAGGTTGAGAGAAATCCGATATACGACAAGAACCTTTTTAAAACTTGTCATTGATGAAAAATAAAATACATTCTGGTTTGCTATAATCCTGCAACAGCATACGTTAACAATGGTATCCTATTCCCTACTTGTCACTTTTGGCTAGGACTTGGAAGCATTCATGCAATCTTCTGGCGATGGGGGCGTCATCTTGTTCACTCTGGGTTCCTACGTCACGCATATCAAGCCGGAGTTCCTGGAGCCGTTCGCAGAGGTCTTCCAGCGATATCCGCAGCAGAAGATCCTGTGGCAGTTGGCAGGTGAACACAAGTTCAAACTGCCGCCGAACGTGAAGACGATGCCGTGGCTGCCACAGAATGATATCTTAGGTAAGGAACACGCAGAGTGTTCCTCTGTGTGGTCATAAGAATTACCATTTAAAAAGAGATGTCATGGTCCAGTGGAAACATTTTCGGAATGTAAATCACAAGGTTCGGGGTTCGAGTCCCGCCATTGCACTAATGTCCTTTTGCAATACGTCAATTTACATTTGCCACTCTCTACCCAGACATACAGGTTTGACTGAACTGTCAGACTTGTCTTACTGGCCATACTCAGACCTGATTACATTACACAACCCCAGAAGATCCTAAAGGGACACCATAATCTCTCCTTCTCAAACATAAGGTGTGACGCGGATGTTTATCGGCTCACCTTCTTTCCAAGAAACATTCGGGCCTGAAATCTCCTTCCCCCCAACATTGTTGCCTGCAATTCAGTAGAAACATTCAAAACAAGACTCGAGGAAGCGATCCAAAGGGGCAATAGTTTAAGTTACATTCACAGGACTGTAAAGAGACGGGACTCAACTAAAAGCTGTATTAAATACACTAACCACTCTCTATTGAACGCTAGCATTCGTATTGGTCACGATATATCCCACTTGAGGATCAGGACCAGAACAGAACATATTCAGATTCGGTCTCTATGAACGCCATCTATTTACAGGTGACACATAATCGGTTTCCGTTTGGTGGCCTCGACAGACATGTTTGATGTATTCAAGTTTGCAAATTACATACATCTCTTTTAGAATCTAGCCATCTGATTGGTCGAAATTGGAGTCGTGATTTAACAATGCCAGTAATGGTCAATAGTTCATGAGTGAGATTCCCGCAAGATTCCGGGTACCGGGAAAATAGTTAAATTTTACTGCGATCCCCATCGGTTCTATAGTGTTTAAATTGTTTTTGTGCGAGCGCGGATACCATACAGTGCTTTTTGTCTGCGATTCCAAAATGGTTGTAACATTCAGTCATCTTTCCATTGAAGATTAACAGACAGTGTCTCAGATTTTCCGTGATGTTTTAACAAATCTTTACTCAAGAAAAGGATAAGGTAAGAATTCTTGTTAAATTTTTGTGTCAATTCGGTATATAAAAGTCATATCGACTGCTTACATATTGGAGGCCTGGCTGTTGGCTCTCGGGGACGTGCACATCCCCTTGAGCCTATACAACAGCCAGGCCTCTCATGGCAGTCGATATCTCTATACTATTTCACTTGTGATTGCTTTCAGGTCACCCAAAGACGCGTCTCTTCATCTTCCACGGTGGCAACAACGGGTTCTACGAGACCGTGTACCACGGTGTACCTGCCATCATAATACCCTTGACCGGAGACGCCATCGACCAAGGGGTTCGACTGAAACACCACGGTTTCGGTATCGTCCTTGACAAAACCAATGTGACTGTGGACATCCTGCGGGTCGCCATAGATGCCATTCTCAACAATGATAGGTAGATACGGTTGTGGTGCCGGGGGGTTGGGGTGAGAAATGAAGTGTTAGTCTGAAGATCTGGGGTCCAGGAGATTCTCGGTCAAAATCCTGGGGGTATCACTTTGGCAGATGTCTTCAGGGATGTTCACAAACATTGATACGTGCTGGGATTTGAGAAGGGGGTACAGGGCGAAAAGTTATAAGCTAGTGAAATCCTTGCTTCTAATTGGTTATCAGCAGATTTGTCACTGATTTTTGTCATTTGTCATTGAAAAAAGGCGTTGTGAAACGGGTCCCTTGTGTATGTTCTTTGGATTTGGAATTTACAAAAAGGGGTATGTTTTATGAAAGAGTGAGAAATTTCACGAAACGATTAACGCAAACATATGAATCCCTATTTATAATTTTGGCGAAAGTAAGGTACTTATTTTGTTAATACATGAGTTCTCGAGGGTTCTCGACAAGCCGAAAATGTTATCAAAGTGTTCTGTTCAAAGCCTGTTTTGTAACCTTGCCTATTTTTTATGCTAAAAGAGTAGTACTTTGTAGATAAAGCTTCTTGAAAATAGGCAAAGTAGGAGGTCAATACTTTCAACTCCGTTAACGATCATCTGGTACACGAATGATAATTGACATGAAGTTCCTGAGGTCCCTCCTCACAATAGTACCGTCAAAATCAAAACCCCTGCCAATCTTTGGATTAACGAGTTAAGGAGCAAGAAGGTAATGAAGGATACATGAGACTGACAAGTCGCCTACAAATTATCTGTTTTTTTAAACATCATTCAACATGATTCAACATAGTAACAGCGTTTTTGCTTTTACATACAAATTTGTGGATTGAAAATATGTGTATGGCGGAGCGCTCTTTTTGGTCTCGTTGTAATTATTAGTTTCACCTCCCTTTCCCTTTACAGTTATTCCGAGGCGGCAAAACTACTGTCCTCGCGTCTACGAAGCAGGTCGATGCATCGGGTGATCGCGCTGCATTCTGGATCAACCACGTGATCAAACATGGCGGCAGCTACATGAGAAGTCCACTCATAGAACTCAACTTCATACAGCGAAATCTGCTTGATGTCATATCGTTTTTCTTGGCCGTAATATCAGTAATGCTCGTGATATCTTGTTATTGTATGAGATGTACATTCCGATGCTGTAAGCGAATGTGTTTCACTACCAAAGAAAAACATGACTGAAAATTAGAAATACTACCTCGGCTTATTTTTATTTTCTTTTGTAATAGAATGGCCATCCCATAATCGCGAGTATCAAAAGAGATAAGTCATGCTGCCAAATAATAAAAATAGCCTTGAAGTAATGCCTAACCTAGCTCTACATGCCCTCCCAACTTTATTTCTTAAATTGTGAAAAAAGGAGGAAAATGACAGAACTGAAAAAGGGGATTGGGGGGGGGGGGGCGGGGGGGGGGCGGGAGGCTACGCGAAAAGAAGATGATGGGCCTATACAACTCGAAACTTGATGGCCTTGTTTTCTTGCATTTGAATTTTGATAAGTCTGGTGATTTGGTGTTTGATTTTTGTTTAAAGTTTTTTTATGTCATCATAATCTTAGCAGGGAAAAATCTTCATCATAGAGTGAAAATGTTGTAGCTTTTGTGAATGGTATTTTATATTTGGTATCAAATATGTTTATTATGTGCTTTTATTCTTAGCATTCAAGAACTTTTTATATAATCAAGCAAATGCATATTAATTTGGATCGATTGTATATATGTATAGGCTAAGGGTATGTTACATGTTTTTCAACAATTAGTGCGCACATTGAATCACATTTCCCCCAAGACAGTACTTCACAATGAATAATTCTACCTCTTTTTTAATTTCTTAAAATGAGTAGATCTATAGATATTGTGAACTTTCCTTTTAAAGTTGTGTAGAGATAGAGTATGTATTTAGTAGCACTGCGCCGGTCGCTCATGGAAAATATCATTTTGTATGTTATAGAGAATTAAAGAAAAAAATGATTATGATGTAATCTGGAATTCGCACCGCATATTGAGCTTTCTTAATTCAGTGCGTGATGCATTTAATCTACACTGCTTCTCTTTACCCGGGTGGATAAGTGGGTATTATACAGTTATTGACTGGCAGGGGGTGTAATATAACATTATTTGGATCGCTGAAGGGAGTTATATTTCCCAAGTGGTTATATTTTCCCGAAGCGCGCAGCGCTGAGGGAAAATATGGTCACGAGGGGAAATATAACTCCCTTCAGGTCCAAAGAATGTTATATACCCCATGCCAGTCAATAACTGTTATATTAGATAGCCCTTTTTGTGGGGGGGGGGGGGGGGGTCCAAAAAAAAATTGCCCGAAATTTTTGTTTCCCCTTTTTTTTTCGGTAATTACGGAAAAATAATCTGTCGAGATAGTTCAAGAAAGAAAAAAATTATAAAAAAATTGGGGGGGAAAAAAAAAAAAAAAAAATCGAAAAAAAAAATTCTTACCCCAAAAAACATTTTTCGGGGAAAAAAAAAAAATACCCCAAAAAGATTTTTTTTGGGAAAAAAAGAAAATGTGGAAAAAAACAATTTCAAGGGAAAAAAAAATAATTAAAAAAAAATATTGAAAAAATTAAATGGCCCTCGGTAATGGTGTAATGTGTGTAATTGGTGACATACAGTCCTCAAGAGGGCGACATGCATTGATTAAAAATATATTCATTTCACCAGCTGGTTAATATAACACCGAAAAATGACCGGCCAGGAAAATATAAAAATTTGGATCCTCACAATTGATATCACGTGACGAGCTCTGGACCAATCACATCTCGGTATCTGTTTAAGCTATCTAATATAGATATATATAGGATACGATGGTTGTATTGTTTGAAAGTCTGTACGCGAATGTGTATGGCGACAGGTTGGAATGCTTATCATTGTATGGGGGGGGGGGGGGAACAAGATAGTGCGCGTGTGTGTGTGTGTGTGTGTGTGTGTGTGTGGAAGAAGTTAATGTAACGATTTGGTTGATAATTATTATTTAGAAAAATAGCATAATTTAAAGCGATTGAAGAAAAAAAATGAAACAACCGTAGGGGATACAAAATTTGGAATTTTGGGATTTAAGCCTTTGCCAAGTAAATGTATTTTGCTTTTTGTTGTTGGGGGGGGGGGGGGTCTGAACATGAAACCGACGGCTACTTTTAGCACTGTTACATTAGGCGATTGTTCTAGTATAGATTGTGGTGGGAAGGGTGTACCTGCAGATCTATGCTTTTACAATACACGTCTGAGTGTGCACATAAATACAGTGCATCTTTTACCCATTACATTATTACGACTAGCCTTCCAGCAGGCGACGATTGCCGGGAAAATGATCACAATGCCCTCTGCTATTTGATTTAGCTTCCTTTCTGGATCTATTTGAATACGGTCCAGACACTTAAGGTCAACCAACTTTCAAAGAGAGTTCATGTAGTACCAATTTACATCTTTTATCGCAGATTTACAATAGTGTGGCATCAGGCATAAAGCCATTGTTGGATATTGCTGGAGAGATGATAAAAGGCTGCGGTTGGGTAGAGAAAGAGAGAGAAAGAAAGAGAGAGAGAGAGATAGAGAGAGAGCGAGAGAGAGAGAGAGAGAGAGAGAGGGGGGGGGGGAGCGGTTGAGATAATAAAGGAACGGGGTCAAAATGTGCCTATTTACAGGGATGAAGCCAGAGAGAGATTGAAAGACATTATACACGAACAATAATATAGGCTGAACTTGTGATAGTGAATATACTTCCGTTTGTTTGTTCATGTATATCGGTTGCCCATCCTTTTCTTCTTCTTTTCTCTTTCTATTTCTCTCCGTCTCTCTCCCGACCTCTTACTCTCTCTCTTTCTCAGTTTCTCTCTGTGTCTCTCTCTCTCCTCTCTCTCTTTGCCCCTTCCCTTTCTATTTCCCTCTCTCTTCCCATCATTTGCCCTTTCTAAATCGTTTTCTGATATCAATATTGGAAGCAAATTGAGAATATTATATGCAAACCTCGACATTTAAAGGTAAAGAGGGGGATAGAATTATATGGGGATTCACACACACCCAAAACCAAAAAAGAGAAATTGTTAAGTTGAACGAAGAGGAGGGGGGGGGGGGGGGGGGGACGACGAAAGAAAGTGAGATATTAACAAAAGTGAAAACTAGCGAATAACAAAGACCTTTTAATAGCAGTGATTACAATGCAATATTTAATTGTTCTGTATATAATTGTTGTTTACATGTATTTACAATTGTTTATATTTGTACAAGAAGCCATTTGAAATGACTTTAAAATCGGACCAGGATCATTTACAAAATGTACATAATCTACAAAGGCTAATTTATATCAATATCAATACTTGTGGATTCTGCTCACAGGGATGTAGTATTTCCATATTTCGCTTTCTACATTGTATAATTATTCCAAACTGTTTATTTACATGAAACCCTATCTCATTTCTAATTCAATTCGTCGCAGAACTAAAGGCCTGTGCTCCACATTCTAAATGCAATAAGCTTAAAGCCATACTCTACTAGAAGGACTACCGCAGAATCTCCTCTAGCGCCATCTCAGGTCAGCTGTTGCAATTTTTTTCCCGCTTAACTGATGTTGGCTCTCGCATCAAACAGTACGCTAGAGCAGAAAGTTCAGTTAAGCTTTAAGCAGACCGAGTAATTTATATTTAAAATGTCGTGAAACAGTATACGATGTGAATATAGGTTGAAATATGATATATCAATATTTACAACATTTTTTTTACAAAATTTGATTCTGTACAAACAAATGTTACAAGTTTACAACCACATTATTAAGGCAGAAAATGCAGTACCAACTACGATTTAACAACCATCAGTATCAACTTGTGAAAAAAACGAAAAACCCGTGTCTGCTATTTTCATCATTATCTTGAAAATTAGATGGCTGGTAAATATTATCTTTAAAAGCATTTTCAGATAAAAAAAAAGTACTGTTGATTGTCACCAATCCCAAGAATAACTTATATCGGGAAAAAAGCAATTCGTTTTTATCATGATCATTGATATTTTGTGAGTAACATAAACAAAACTTCTAATTCTCTCACAGGTTAAGGAATGTATAATAGAATAACGTAATAAAAAAGGACATAAAATGGAATGTTACACTGTAAACAAAAAATGGCAAGGTGCAACGCGCAAATGCAAATGCATCATGCTAAATAGTTTGATTTGGTAATTGCTCGTATAGCATGTTTCTGTAGTAAAAACAATTTTTAAGATGACTAAGATGAACAACCGCCCCATAAAATATTAGAATGAATAAGATGTGATAGAATCATACAGTTATGCAAATTAGTTAAAATCTTCAGTGGTAAAATGTGTTTCAAAATATTTAACACTCCAATGGATTTAGATATTTTAAAGCAATGTAATTTACATGTTCCTTATAGTTTAAGCTTTCGTCTATGATTAGGCCAACAAATATACTACTGGTTCCTCTCTTTATACATGAGTTGAGTTGAGTTGAGTTTGAAGTTTATTATCCAAACAAAAGTACATCAATATAACAATCAACTGCGAGTGGTTAACATTGAAAGGATAAATGGGACCAGAAAATAGCATTTAATGCTAATCGTGTCTGGTACCACTAACACACAAAAGTATCACATCAATGAATGAGAATGTAATGAATAATTATGAATAACTATTAAATACATACTTAAGCTACAATCTATTCTACATCTATAGGGTAAATATGTTCTGTGATTAAATACAAAGCTTTGGTATTTTACACTTAATAAAGATAAAGAATTACACAATATTTACAAAAAGGCAAGAACCTTGGTTCAATGTTAAAAACAATTATTCTATTAACATTAGTGATATTACAGTTCTACGAAAGCAAGACAGTGATGCTTTCTCCCCTACAGATAGGGGTAGATCATTTAAATAGCGTGTGCCTCTGAATGACATTGAAAATTTACCCTGCGTTGTCCTTACTTTAGGCACACTCAACGTATTACTTTCTCTTTGTCTAGTCTCA